GCAAGGAAACAACATTTTTAGTGTTTTGAGTTAATCATGATCACAACAAGCGAGATTCAAGAGCCTTTTAGCCCTAGTTTTCAGGTAACTTGTGCTACAATCTCCCCTTAGTGTGACTTGTTTCTTCTTGTCTTGATTATGTTAATCATATGATTATAGTATTTTCAGGAATTTGCCATTTCTTGATTATGCTCACTACTTAAATAGAAGGAGTCAAAGATACGAACATGGTTTCTCTTACACACATTTCGTCTAAATTGCATATTATGTATATGGTTTATGAATCTTGATGCAGGCCAAATCTATACACTCTGGATCGATATCGTTTGGGAGATTTGAGAAAGAAGGTTTATCATGGGAGAGGAGATCATCTTTTTCTCATAACAAGTATCTTGAAGAAGTTGACAAGTGCTCTAAACCTGGATCAGTTACCGAAATGAAAGCGCATTTTGAAGCTCATTTCAAGAAGAAAGGGGTCAGAGTTCCGGTTTCTCTTGAATCTCAGACTTGGGGAGTTCGTCAAACAGGGGAATTGGATGATGCAACTGAAAGTTTCGAGGATTATCGATCCGATGAGAGTTTATCGGAGAACACGAGTCAATCAGACAGTCCTTGTAACTATGAACAAGAGAAATGTGGTCAAGGAAAGAGCCAATGTGAGTACAATGAGGGAAGTGATCATTGTGCTAGCTATGATGAGATTGTGGTGAATTCAGATGATGTCATTGAACTTGACGAAGAAGGCGGTGTTGACCACGGGACTCTTGTTTTTCCTTTAGACAATGATGAAGTTTCAGTGGATGTTAGACTGCCTGAGATGTCGATAGAGATCGAGGTTCGAGATGACGATGAGCTTAAAGAGGATTGTTCTACATTTGAAGAAACAGAATCGAGATCCGATCAACATGTTCCAACAAAGGTGAGAGTAATTGTTGATGTTTTTGCACTGTGGCAGATTCAGACATTTTAAAACTTATATCTTTCTTGGTCTATTGATAGTCAACCGATGTTATGAAAAGACCCTCCTCCTCCTCTGCATCTAGATCCAAGCCTCTGGAGAACATTCCTGAGCCTATGAGTGTGACTAAAGCTTCTACAAAGAGACATGGTGTAACTCCAAAAGCTGATTCCATAAGGACAAAGAGTTCTTTAACTTGTAATTCTAATACAAATGCAGATACCAAGACCAAGAGGTACTTTTAGTTTTAATTCCCATAGAGAAATGTTGTAACTCTGTTCATCTTTCTCTTTACTTATGAGTTTATGATCTACTTGTTTTTGTGGCAGCCAAAAGGAATTAAGACCAAAGAAAATCGTTGAATCTAAACCTCCAACATTGAAGAAACCCGAGACTAAAACTCCTCTTGCTACAAACAGGTCCAATACTAACACCATTCTACTTTTTTCGAGTTAAATGACTTCAACAAGCTAATGGTTTCATGTGCAGGTGCAAGAATGGTACCTATTCTTCTAAGCTAGAGATGAGTACAAGTGCTTCTGGTTTCCGTTTTAAATGTAGCGAACGAGCTGAGAAGAGAAAAGAGGTTTTTTTTTGTCTTAAAAATTAGCAATTTTTCTTGGTAAAACCAAAATTAAAAATTTGCGAATCCTATATGAAACTAGATGAAACTTTCCTTTATTTCAGTTCTATATGAAACTAGAGGAGAAAATACATGCCAAGAAAGAAGAGACTAATCAGGTTCAGACCAAAACACAGGTATGATCATTCTTCTTCATGTCTCTTTGAAATGTAAACAATACATTATCTTTTTACATTTCATAAAGAACTAATTGAATATGATAAAACATTTCTGATGCAGCTGAAGGCGGAAGCTGAGATGAAGGAATTCAGGAAAAGCCTCAACTTCAAGGCAACACCAATGCCTTCATTTTACAAATCTGGTACTAGGCCAGGATCTCATGAAAAGGTATATTTCTAGGATACAATATTTGTCTGAACAGAAAGAAAAAAAAGGAGTCTTGATCTTGTAGTTGGAACCTCGATTTCAAGATTGGCTGCAAGTACTATCTAGTTAGATCTTCTAAACGCCAAGAAAGTAGCAACCATCAACTTAATACCCTAAACTTGCTTTCTTTATACATTTTCAGACCGAGCCATCTAAAGTCGCACAATCAAGACCGCGACATACGACCTCGGCCTCAAGTACGAACAGAGCGGTCACAAGAGTTGGTTATAAACACGGTTTTCAAGAAGGTAAAACTGTAAAGGTAACGGTCGGTAATAGAAAACAGAGTGCGGTTAGAGATTCGGATATGCAAAAGGGTAATGTTACTAAGGTTAAAACAAAACAGAATTTTGGCACTAGGAACAGCAACTAAAGGAAAATAGGCGGTTTGAATTC